CACAATACAAGGCCCAACAGCCACTCATGGTAGAGGGTGTGGTGTTAGATGAGCGTAAGAAAGAGCAAGTAGTGAAGTTCATGGGGTTAAACAGAAAAGATAACGGTTAATCCGAGACTTGAAGAGATCAAGATTGGAGTGATCGGGAGAGCACCCCACCGGGAGTCTGTTCCACAAAGTTGCAGTTCTTGGGAAGAAGCTGTTTGAGTGGAACTTACTTCTTATTATCCCATAAAAAACTTTTCTTTTGACGACTGTGTCTTTTGGTACAATTAAAGAGTTGGTTTTTTTTTTTTTTTTTTGTACGGGATCAAGTTGTTAATCAGCATGGGTCTGGTGGACATGTTATGCTGAAATCCTCCGCAGTGTTACCAGGGACGCTCCGAAAGTAAAGTTTCTTATTCGTCGCAACGGAAGCTATAGCAGTTACAGCGCGAACCTGTTAGCACCATTGGACAGAGCAAAAAAGAAAAACAGAATACGGATCGCCTAACTGTGCTCACATACGCTGTTTGGTCTCTAAAAATGTTTATCAAGCATCAATGAATGTCAATGGATGTAACTGTTTTTCCACATGGCGGAATTCAATGACACAACACTGCGTCGTACACATTTTTATGTCAGAAGACATTTTGGCAGACTGCCGCTGTAACAAGGCAACAAATACACTAAAATGAACAAAAAAAAAATACCAAAAGAACAAGATATAAATTATTGACAGGAAAGTTCAGGCTTTGCCGCCATATACTCAGTATCGACCTCTGATGTTGTGTGTGCACACAATAAAATAGGAGGCGTTCATTTCGGAGAATCTTAGAGATAATTGTTCAGTTCCTCAAGATTTTTTTTTTACTATTTATCCAATCGAATTGAGGAAAGAGTTGTCTTCCAATGCACGGCTTAGTTGCACTTTCGAACCTATCTTGAAATCTATTCGTAAAGAAGCACTGCCACCAGACATAAGATGAGTCTGGTGATTTCTGATTTTAAATGCTAGTGCAACGCTGAATATATTGACAGAACTAATAAGAGATTGGAGACCAGGATTGAATGACACATACCAGCTAAGATCCGCAGAGGGCAATGTGAAAATTTGCATACGCTCGTTAATACACCCGGTTCTGCGATTGCAGAACATTTAATAAAAAATCCGATTTCTCCCTCGTCTTTTACCAGATATTTTTTCACAGTACACAGAGCAAATTACTATTTAAAAGTGCTCAAGACCCGGTACATTATGTCTAACTAAACTTCCCTCAGTAAACAGAAGTTGCTGGGTCGAAATTTAATCTGTCTGTGATATATATTACTGATTCTCTGGTAATATTTTGTATTGTCCGTGTATTGCTTAATATATTGTAATGTAATTGTCATCTTTGATAATGGCTTATGTAAGCCGAAAGCTTAGATAGGATTAAAAAATATGTATCAATATTGTGATTTTCTTTCTTCGTTTAATGATAATGTTATTAAACTTATCAGACGATATGAAAAGCATTTACATAAAATAAATAGACAACACTTGTCTATATTATTTAATGAAACATATATATATATATATAAGTAATGAGAATCTTGGTAATCCGTATGGATAATCCCAAGGAGGATGAAATCCAGAGAGCTCAATGCTAAATCAGAGCGATTAATTCAAAGAAAACAGATAATATTAAGGGTCCATTAGTTATAATCTATTTCACCAGGGAATTTCTTTTTTCCTGGCTCATCAAACCACACCTCCTTTTTTTTTCATCCTCCCTTGGAAGTGTATTATAACCAATGAACCCTTGAAGTTGGCTGTTTTCATTGAATATATATATATATATATATATATATGCAGCTCATCTTCATTCAAGTATGCTTGGTTGAATAATCTAGACATATTAAGTCTATTTATTTTATTTTAATCTTCTCGATTACTCTGATCTACTTCTTAATGTTGATATTAAATTCATTAAGGAAGGTACTGTAGTCTTTTTGATTTGTTTTATTTTCCCAAGTACTTTCAATCATCTTCAGGGAGGAATTGCTAAGACAAAAGATTAATGTAATTGATAGCTGTGAATTATTTTGTAAATGCGCATGAAATACGCTCTGTTATAATTATAAACATGCATAAAAGTACCCCGTTATAATTGATTTAAAAATTAACTGTTAAAGCTATTATGTTTTATCTAAGGGAGGCAACTTTAATATATATTTGTAATTTTAAAAAAAATAAAAGAAATGAAAAGAAAAATACTATTCAATGAATTTAATATCAACATTAAGAAGTTGATCCTAGAGTTCAAGAGGATTAACATAAAACTAAAAAGCCATAATATGTCCAGATTATTCATTCAAATATGCTTGAATATATATATATATATATATATATATATATATATATATATATATATATTAAAAAAGAAAAACAGACTACTTTAAGGTACCATTACAATAATTTATTTCACCAGTGTCCTTTTAAAAGGACGTATATATATATATATATATATATATATAT